TTGGGTGCCAGCCTCCAGGGTTTTTTTGGGTAAGGAAGTTATGTAATGAGAATAAAATCTGGTCCTCTGAAACTCCATGGGAACAGATTATGTAGCACCCAAATGTAGGAGACGATCTACTTCTTGTAATATAGTCTCATGAGAAGGGTCCCTGAAGATGAACAGGGTGGCGGGGATGGATAGGAATGGTGTATGTGAATTAAATTGTCTGTAACACCCATTTGTCAGAAGTAATATTGTGCCATTTGTCATAGAAAGGTTTCCTAGTATCCGGGATGGTTTTCAGTTTCTTGACAGATGCCTCAAATTTGCTTATTGGGCTGAGGGGGATGGTTGGAAGTATCAGCCAGATTGTGTCTACGCTGCTGTTTACCATGGCCACATTTTTGGCATGGTGGATGGTCTTGCCTTGGGTAATAGTATGTGGACTGAGGGTATCTTGGTCTCTGGTATGGTTGGCATCTGTATTGCTTCTCCTTGTTGCAGGTGTGTGAATGCCAAGGGAGCATAATGTGGCCTGGGAGTCTTTCATGGAGTGGAGGACGTCACTGGTTTTTGATTAAAAGAGTTTTTTTCCCTCAAACGGTAGATCATCTATGCACGACTAGATTTCACGAGGGAAGACAGAGAAATTGAACCATGAGGCCCATCTCATGACAACTGCCATGGCTGTTGTTCTTGTGGCCGTAGCCTCTGCATGTAGGGTAGCTTGAAGCGCTGTCCTCGATATTGCCTGACCCTCTAACGTGCACCTTTTTGTCTCTGGTATATCATCAATAAAGGTGTTGAACTTTGCAAAATTGTTGAAGTCATATTTAATGAGGAGTGCTGTGTAGTTGGCCAGTCTTATTTGTAATGTGGCAAAGGTGTACACCTTTTTGCTGAGTGTGTCAAGTCTTTTATTATCCCTGCTGGATGGTGTGGAATGATTTTGTTGTTGCTTGTTTCTTTGCTGAACTGCGTCAACTACCAGGGAGTTTAGTGGTGGATGAGTAAACAAAAACTCTGACCCCTTTGGTGGGACATAATACTTGTGGTCTGCCTTTTTGCAGGTGAGAGGGATTGAGGCAGAGGTTTTCCAATGAATTCTGGCAGGTTGCATGATGGCTGAATTAATAGGCAAGCTGATTTTTGAAGAAGGTGTAGCATGCAGCATGTTTGTAAGCTCGTGTTGTGTGTCCTGCACTGCCTCATTCGCAATAGTTAGTTCAGCTATGACTCTCCTAAAAAGTTCCTGGAAAGGGGTGAAGTCTTCAGTGGGTGCCAAGGGCAGTGGCATAATAGCCTCGTCTGTCACAGATGGTGAGTTTGTCTCTAGTAATGCGTCCAGACCTAAATTGGTGGACTGCTGTTAATCGATTTCATTCCATTCCCTCTGTATTAGCAGGGATTGGGACAGGGGGGAAAGTGCTTTCATAGTGTGCTTTGTCTTATATGGCCTCTTTTTGTGATGTTGAAGCCATGGGTTCCAATATTGCTATTGTGGTAGATAAGGCATGGCTGGTGGTATCCATGGGTATGGAGTCCAAGGGCCCATGCCCACATTGATAGGATGGGCAAAATCAGCATTGAACAAATGTCCCAATGTTTCTGTGTGTGGCGATAGCTGGGGTGAGAAGACCCCTGGCTCCTCGTCGTCATCAGTTGATAAAGTAGGTGATGATGAATATTTGGATCGCAGTGAGTATGATAGTTTTTCAGTGTTTAAAAATAGAGAGTTAAACGTTGAGGAGACCACAAAGTCTCTCTGATGCTGGTCGCTAATGGTAGGAATGAAAGGCACTGAAGCCAATGATGTTGCAAGTGGCACTGGCGCCTGTGATATTCTAGATGCAGAGCACGCAGTGTGAGACGTTGCTGTGGTCAGCAAAGGCAGTGCAGATAGGCTGCCCTGTCAGCTGTTGTGATGCCGTAGTAACCACTTTCGGCACCATGATCTCACAGTGCTGTTCAGTGCCACGCTTGGTGCCAAGTTCCATGAGGCAGTCACTGAATGGCCTGCAGCCTCCGTACGGGCGACGTGTGAGGTGCGTCTATGGGGAGCTCGGTCAGCACCAGAGGTGTCTGGCTTATTGTATGTGCTGAGGTGAGATTTGTCAGCTTTTGTCATGTGCCTCTTGGTCAAAGGCCATTTAGGCGAGTGCAGATCTTGTGGCAGAGAGGAAGAACGTTTCTTTAGGGACTTCTTTGGTTTGTCCCCCTTATCATTGGCAATCTCCTGAGAGCCTGGGTCTGAGGAAGGGTGTTTGCCCTTCTCTCTCATAAGCATTTTTAAACAGAGATCTCTGTCTCTCCCTGGTCACATGTTAAGTTTAGTGTGGTGTGGGCAGTCCCTCTGAACATGGGAGTTCCAAGACACTTGACACATTTTGCAAGGTTGCCTGAGGCCGCCTCATTGCAGTCTGTTCAGTGATTAAACTCTGGTGAACCCATTGTTCCGGGTGATCTTAAACGGCAGGAGAGCCAACGTGGGGCAAATGGCTTTTTTTTCCCCAAAGAACTTGATGAACAACTGGGGAGAAGAACTTGGAGTTAACTAATCTATCTATCTACAGAGAACTATTGAGGAACAAAGAGCACTGAGAAGGTCCGTCTTGGGCTGGGGATGGTATGAAGGAACTGAAGGGAGGATGGCTGCACATGCGCGGTAGTGCTGGATGGTGCCATGCACCGTGCATGCATGGCCCCAATGCGCTGCTAGGAAGAATCCACTCTGCGGTGCTAGGACACATGGACAGCTACTGTGGAGCACCCCCAGGGACATCTCTTAAAGAAGAACACAAGTATACAATAATGCCAAAAAATTAAAAAGGGAATATTGCTTATCCTGACTGAACTTGAAGTCTAAAAAGGTGACTCCAATTAAAGAGACTTAAATCCCAAAAACATGAGAATCTAGTGAAAGAGAGACTTTATTGGACGGATTTTCCCCTTCCTTCAAAAGGCAACCAACCCAGATTAGTTAAATCCTATTCTAAAAAAGTATAACGCACATTTGTGTGAAATCCATTCACATCCATACTGGTGCAGCACTGTACAACACTTTGTGGATATGGGCTAGACGTTGTATGCTTACTTACACATGTATAGAATAGAAAACAAGGTGGAATTCACTTATATAGAAACATACACTCTCCAGATCTCTGGAAGGGAGTGACAGAGGAGGATCACATGAGGATTATCTGTTGTGATCCCTCCCTCTGGGGCAGTGTTTCTTAAACTTTTTAAGACTGAGGAATACCAAACAATTTTTTTTTATGGGGACCACCATGGATTATTTTGTTGAGGAAAAAAAGCCCCCAGGGAAAAGTTGTTGAGCAAAAAAAAGTTGTTCTCTCCGCAGCACACCTCTGACTGCCTCGGAACGCACTTTAAGAAATGCTGCTCTGGGGCATCTGGTATTGGCCACTGTCGGCAGACAGGATGCTGGGCTAGATGGACCTTTGGTCTGACCCAGTATGGCCGTTCTTATGTTCCTATGTTCTACGGAGCTGCGGATGAAATAAAATTAGTCTTTACAATTTACTGGCTTGGGGCCTGACCCCAACCTCACTGACATCAATGGGAGTCCATTAATTTCAGTGGGCTTGGGGTCAGGCCTTTGGTCTGGACATTTATTAATTTTGGCTGAGTCCCCTTCCTGGGGACCTTAGAGACATACACCCTTTACACGGAGTGATGAAAATCACTCAATGTGCCACTCTACCTGATGAATTTACATTTGGGGTGAAAAGAAATTAAAACAGGTGAATTATTTCAGACTTCCTTCGGCCTTTTTCATTATTTAACTCTTTTGCAGTCCAGTTGCTCTTTAAAAAGGCAGTGTAATTTTTAAAGAGCAGCTGCCATCACATGAAAATCTAAGACGTGCTATACTGTAGCAGCTCTCTCTTGGTGCATAAAATAAATAAAAAGACACTAATAGGAACAGCTGCTTAAAAAATGAGATTTGCAGGGAATTTAGCTACACATAATTCCATGTACTGCTTTGAAAACCTCATCCCAGGATCTGTATCCCTTAATAGTCTGCTCCTGGTGCTAACTGGCTCAGCTACACAATGGCACAACAGAGCCTTTGTTGTGTCCTCAGCGACGTGTTTATACATTGTGACCTGCCCAAGGACTGCTTCCTATCCTTTGTATGAAGAATTCTCACCAAGATATGATATCAAGTAACAGTTATTTTGTGGCTTTCTACATAACTTTATTAACACAGGTGTTAAGCAAGTTTTCTGACTAAAACTAATCATTATCAAAGAAGGTTACTGCATTTTAGAACAAAGCTCTCAAATGAAATCTCCTTTATGCAGTGCAAGGAAGTAATACCAGCCAGAAGGAATCAGGAGATATATCATGCAGAGTGATTCTCAGTTTGTCAGGGGAAGGCAGCTTCTTCCCCAACTCTATGAGGGAGGGTCTCCTCCCCACAATTGTATTAGCTCCCAGTTCTGTGCTCAGACTACATCTTTCGTAGGTCCTCACCCACAACCCTGCTGCTATGAGCAGAAAGAAAGATCAGGGCACTAGTAGCCATCACTGAAAGGATCTGATGCAAATGTCAGGAGGGATTTTTCAGTGTTATTCGTCTCAAGTCAGAACCCTCTATTCAAAGAGATCATTTGCACAACAGATATTCATGATATCAACAAACAAAATAGTATGACATCAGCCAGGGAATAAAAACAAAATCACTAATCACAATTGCTTTGGAGTAGGATACTCTTAAAAGCTCTCCAGCATTTTGAGGAAGCATTAGCACACCTTTATATTCAATTAGATAAATTCCACCCAGATTACTGTGTAACTCCACTGATTTCAGTAAGGTTGCACATGGTGTAAATTGGAGCAGAATTTGAAACTTTATCTCAGCCTTATTTCCAAATCTTCACAGGTTCTAAAGAAAACCTTACAGGCCAAACTCTGGTGTTTAGCACTCCCTCATGGCCACTTTCCCAGAATAGCTCTGAGGTTCATGCAGATATTGACTTATCTCAACATACTTTTGAAGGGTGAGGCTCAGGTTGTAGCTGGCTGATTTGATCTTGTTCTGAGCCTCTAAGTGGGTCATCCCATCTGTGTTGACTCCATCAATGGCAATCACAAGGTCCCCCTGGTTCATGTGTGACTGGGCTGCTTTGCTGCCAGGTGTAATCTGTTATGGAGAAAAGAAAAACAGACTTTATTATTTGTGTGAAACGATTTTAGAGAACAAGTCCAGTCCAGAGTTATTATGGGAGTTGATTATTCCTCACCTTCCTTGAGCCCTACAAATAATGACATTAATGGAAACTATACACACAGATTGAAATTCACCCTTCTTCTAAGGTCCAGTGCAAGGTCTTTATGTCACTTAATCCCTATTATGGGTTTAAGTGGGTTATATACCTTATGCTGGCCCCTCTAAACAAGGATCTCTCAACTTCACCCTCAATTACAGGAAAGTAAATCCCCCTACATTTTCTGTATATATATAAAAAAATTGCCATTTAACCAAAGATGGATATTATTGAACAGGTTCACGTAGCTGTTAGATTATTTATAAAAAGTTGTTTAAAGCAATTAAAATATTTTAACATCCGCCTGGATTTTGGCCAAGCAATCTTAATGGAACTACTCAGGTTTACCGCAGCTGAAGATTTCGTCCGTTGTAAATATTCCTCTGAAAGGCATGTTCCATCATCTCCCTCGCATGGAGAGCATGCAGGAAGTTCACCTACTGTGTAATAACCATCAGAATTGAATTTTTTTCTACATGTTGCTTGAAAGTGCATTTATTTTCAAATCCAAAGTCACACAACAGTTTATGAAAACTTCAAAAACAATGAGTTGTCCTGTAGCACCTTAGGGTACATCTAAACTACGTCCCTTTTTCGATAAAAGGATGTAAATTAGATGTATCGAAATTGTAAATGAATCCGGGATTTGAATTTCCCTGAGTAGTTCCATTAAGATTGCTTGGCCAAAATCCAGGCGGATGTTAAAATATTTTAATTGCTTTAAACAACTTTTTATAAATAATCTAACAGCTACGTGAACCTGTTCAATAATATCCATCTTTGGTTAAATGGCAATTTTTTTATATATATACAGAAAATGTAGGGGGATTTCCCATCTTGACCATAGGTTTTTTCTGAAAAGTGGCTTTCAGAGGAAAAAAAACTGCGGCCACCATTATGTTAATGAAGCGTGGGAAATTCAAATCCCAGATTCATTTACAATTTCGATACATCTAATTTACATCCTTTTATCGAAAAAGGGACGTAGTTTAGATGTACCCACAGAGACTAACAAAAAAAAATACACGGTATCATTGAGCTTCCATGGGCACAAACCACTTCTTCAGATGCGTTGAGCAAGATGCATGCATCTGAAGAAGTGGGTTGTGCCCACAAAATCTCAGTGATACTGTGGGTTTTGCCCACCAAAGCTCATGATATCATCTACATGTTTTGTTAGTCTTTAAGGTGCTACTAGACTATTCATTGTTTTTTAAGTATATTTTTTTTCTTAGCCTCAAAGGTGCTACAGGACCACTTGTATTTTAAATTGTTTTAAGTTACAGACTAACATGGCTACCCCTCTTAGACTTACATTTTATGATTATTTATTATTATTTGTATTGTGGTTAGGAGTGCCTAATCAAGATCAAATCCCACTACAGCCAGAACAGAACATTTTAACAAATTTGTTTTCACTGTTTGTTGTCACTATACCTTTGGTTGAAGGTATACACCACAACTGGTCAATTCCATCTATAGTTTAGGAATGCTCTTGGATTCCTCACAGACACTTGGTTCTCCCATTGGAGCATCCACACAAAGATTTCTACCATTTTCATTTGACTAGGAGATAACTTTTCTTTTTCAGTTACACACCTTTGTACCTTCCATCTGGACTACATCAATGGAATATCAGTTGGCATCAGCCCATAGGAAACTCCCACTACTACAGAATGCTGCAGCACAATTCCTCAGCAACACAGGTTACCAACTTTACATCAACCCTATCCTCCACTTTCTATGCTGACTTCCCATATACTACTGAATCAAATTCAAAGTCTTAGAGCCAGATGTTTATAGATAAGTAAATGCCTAAAGATGCAGACATGTACCCAGCTGGATTTTTTTCAAAAGCACTTAGGTAGCTGTCTCCCATTGATTTCAATGTTAGGTCACCAGGCATTTTTAAAAATCCCAATAGGCACCTTTTTTCATTTTTAGGAACCTAAATACCTTTACGAATCTGCCCTTTATTCCCTGTGTTCCAGGCAATGATCTGGGCACAGCGTATCTTCAAAAAATAAATCACCTAAAATTCCAGGATGAAGACTGTTACTGACAGCCTTACCAACACAGGGAACATTTTTTAGCTCATTATCAGAGACAGACTTGAGTGGCCTTACAAGAATAGCAGTACATACTCAGTATGAAAAAATAATAGTCAAAGATGTATTAAAGCCCTCCACATGTGATTTAAAGGTTTTATTAATAGTACAACTCCATTCTGTTTTGTACTTCTCTGTTTTCATGGAATAAGGAATAATTACAAAGTAAATCTCTAAAAGGGGAAAAAAAAGTTTTATTTTGCACTTTTCGTGCACTATTCACTCCCTCTTAAGGTTGATGCATATAAGAAACACAGGGTCAGGTGGAATTCATTTTACAATTTCTAATTCAGTGACAGTACCAGAGAATTGTTCTCATTCTCAACTTTCCAATGCACACCACGGCCTAAGTGATCCCATTAATGCCTTTCTTCACTGAAAGGAAAAAACTTTCCAATCAGTCGGACACCAAGATATGGCCCTGACTGATACAGGCTATTTAAAAGAAAACTCTATCCATCTTTAAGACACCACTCTTCCTTACCATAGAAAACCGGTATGCCTATGTCATAAAATATGTTAAGTATGCAGTGTTGCTGAGACCTCTGCATTCCAGATTGTGGACTCCTACTGATCTGTACACCCGCTTGTGCTTATCAAGAACAAAAAAGCATTGCTGATCATTACGTCTCTTAGGGCACGTCTACACAGCAGGACAAAAGTCAAATTAAGCTACGTAACTTCATCTATTACATCAGTTGTTTAGCTGAAGTTGAAATAGTGCCAAAAGCCAAATGAAGTAGTCTACACAGCAGGAAGTCAAATGGAGAACACTCTTCCTTTGATTTCCCTTACACCTTATGAAATGAGGGTTATAGGAGTCAGAATAAGAAGTCCTCCAGCTTGACATTATTTCAAAATAATGGCTTGCTATGTAGTTGAGCTCTTTGTTATTTGGAATAATGTCAGTTATTTTGGGTACGTCTAGACTGGCGGGTTTTTCTCGGATACCCGAGGTATCCCAGAAAAACTTTGCTGCCTCCAATGTGTTTGCTTTTCTGCCTTTTTTGCGGAAGAGCAAATGCGCTCTTTCTTCTGCCTTTTTTGCGGAAGAGCACATGCGCTCTTTTGGGGAGTCCTGTGTACCTCGTTTGTAGAAATACTACAAAATTAGGATCGCTGCAAAGGTCTTGGAAATATGAGGTACGTAATCTGATGTCAAAGACCATAATGGATGCAGTCATAAGAAAACAAATGGAAAGACAGAGGAAAGCTGGAAAATAAAAGTACATCTGCTCTATGAAGGACTGAGCATTTTAATGTTTCTTGATTTAATTTTTGCAAGCCAGAAGGAAACTGTGCAACTATGCCTTTATAAAGGGGCTTTCTTCCCAGACACTAAGCATCACACCTTGCTGAGGTAGATAAACATTGTCCCCATTTCATAGGTGGGCAATTGAACTGTTGAAAGTGTAAATGACACATCAAGGTCACAAAGTGGGTCAATGCAAGAACCAGGAATAGAAGCGGATCCATGTCACTCCATGTTTTCTGCTCTAGACTGCAGACATCACTTCCTCCTTCTACAGCTTAGGCAAGGGTCCACAGATGAAGGAGAGGAAGCAGCCTTATTTTCCAAACAAATTGAATTTCCCTGCTCTTATAACCCTCGAAACCCCATGAATCTGGTAGATTTAACAGAGTTAGGGCATGTGTACACTAGGAAATTATTTCAGAATAGTTATTTTGTCAGTTATTATTCAGAAATAAGTTATTTCGAAATAGCATAACCTGGAAGTTAGCCCGAGGCAGGCTCCTTTAATGTGAACGTGCTACCTCGACTTACTCCCCACTGTTTCCTGGGGGCTCTAATTACTTTGAATGACTCTGGGAAGTAGTTATTTCAAAATAGTAGCAGTGGAGCATCCACGGTACTGCTATTTTGAAGTAACTATTCTGAAATAAGTGTTATTCCTCATGGAAAGCAGGAGCTATTATTTCGAACTAACCAGCCCTTTATTTTAAAATAATGGGCTTGGTAGTGTGGATGCTCCACTTGTTATTTCAAAATTGACCAGGGCTTATAGGGCCAAAAGTGGCAATGCATAGTTTAAAAAGAGAGAGAGACTGGATCAGCAGGGGTCAATCAAGGAGAAAAGGAGGAAAACCTCTGGAATAAACAGGCTGAAATTCACCACTTTCCCTCATGCACCAACAACAAATCTCAAAGAATTTCCTTTATGCAATCACTGCTTTTGCTTTGCTGAATAAACGGTCTTGTCATTTTCAATGTATTGCCAGTTTTGTTTTAAAAAAGTAACAAAAGCAGAAGTACAGCAAGGGATCAGATAAATACCATATACAGCTCACACAGGTAGTTTCTATAATAAAAGTCTAAATAGAGCAGAGCTAGAAAGACTCAAATACTTTGTAGTGATCTCTTAGAGGTGGTCTTCTGGGCAGTTGTCGCTGTATGACAACCAAGCACAAATTCTTCTCTCCAGCAAGCTCTATGGATCTCTCTTCTGCACATTATGCACCCAGAACTCTTGTTAATCAGCGTGGAGTATATAATTGATAGCCATAGCATGGTTGAGAGAGACACGTGGGGCCCGGTGGACAGAGGCTTCTTTCTGGCAGCTTCCCCTGCTCCCTCCACCCCACTGCTGCCTCTACTACAGAGGACAAGATTAACTGATAATCCTACACATTGGCTTCTCTACTAGCTACTGGTAACCTCTTCTCCTAACCACTCCCGAAGAATAAACAATGTGATCTCTTCTGGTATAAAATAGGTTAACTGTTTTCTTTACAGCTATGTTCTATGC